ATAAATAATCGACGCTAGTATTCTTTTTTCTTTTTCACATGTTTCAAGATAAATTCTGTATAGTAACTGAAAGTAGATCTGTTTCAATATCTTCTTCAAAAGATGTTTGTTAAAATTTTTATTTTGACAGATGTAGCATGTAAAAGCACAACTTCTAAGAGAATTTTCATTTTCTTCTTTTTGCCTGTTAAAATTACCAAAACTTTACAGGTCTTATCATTCCAAGACAGGAAAAAAAAACAAACCAGAGAAGAACCTAGTAAAATTGGCTTATAAGCAATACTAAAATTTATTGTTGCTTCGATGATAGACTGCAACTATCATTTAGACAATATTATAGGTAAAAAAAAAAAAGAAAAAAATCAAGAAACAGGAAAAAATCAAAAGAAAAAAAAGAACTAGAAACATGGACAACCGTCACCGCACCTTTTCCACAAATAAATATTTGCTCAAAAATATTACTGGATTTCATATACGTATATAGCAGTATTCGTAGCGGTCGTAAAAAAAAAAAACGATGAAAGATACATGCTCCAGACGTTAATTTTTTATAAATTTGTACCCCTTTCGTTGCCTCTATTTTGTTGCGATTATAGTTGATTGTTTTCAAAAACATATTCATTGATTTCAAAAGTTTAATGGAAAAAAAAAAGACAAAATTTTTGATACACTTCCCGGTTTAAGATAGTTCAGAGCAGTAATGTAGTTTCGGTGATTTGAAATAAGATAGAAAGTAAAAAGAAGAGGCTGCAAAACGTCTATATCAATTTAGGTTGCGAAACAGGAAAATTCCTCTCAATAGAACATACGCTTTACAGGAGGAAACCACTGAACGGATTGAGTCTGTACAAAAATCAAGGCACTACGCAAACTAAATTGCAAAAGAGAACAGTTATAATATAAGCATAGCTAATACGCAGCCTCTACACCGACGAAGTCGAATCCAGCCCGAAATTACTTGATAGCTACTACGCTGCTCATCGATCTCCTGAAAGAGCGACTGGAGTGCGCGCAATACCCAACACCCGAGAAAGTGATCAGTGCACCACACACATGAGCTACCTTAATCATGTAACTGTCATCTACTCCCGCTCAATTATTTGCACCGTGAGCAGGTAAGCTTCCGTTCAGGTTCCTCAGCAAGTGGTCTTTAAAGTATGCTAACGAAAACATTAATAGAACTCTCTCGGTAGATCTCTTTTAAACTACGCGCCACGGTGAAGCCCAACCAAGTGTACTCAAGCTCAATCTTTTTACTTCAGCTTCCTTACGTGAAAGAATCAAACTGTCAATAGCATTCCCTCCTTCCATGCAAAACGGCCGAAAAAAGCTTATGAAAACCTCTTCAGGGACTCAAAAATCCCGAATCGATGGCATATGAAATATCGCATCAAAAAAATTAGTTGCAAAGTTTCTTAAGGTTAGACAAGTAGAACTTTAAGATACTGGAAAAAATAACAACCATTTTATTTTGGAATCAATCACCTTAAATCTGTTCTATATATTTCATAAAATTAATTCTTTAAGAATAAAAACTTGAAATATCTGACATTTAGCTTTGCAGTCCTTCATCTTACCGTCTTATTCCTCAGTTTTCAAACGAGGAAACGACAAAAAACTTCTCACGCAGTATACTCTTAACTGTAAAAATGGGTAAAGATAAACAAACATGTACAAAGTCTATATCACAAATAGCAAAATAGATATACAGTGAAAATCGCCAAGGAATTTTCAACAAATTATAAAGCTCTTCCTTTCTTTTTTAATTTTTCCATCTTCTTTTTCTTCTTCATTTCTTTTCTAGCCTGTAAGTTAGCTCTCCTCTTCTCTTGCTTCTTCTCTTGGTTGTGCTTTACTGCCTCAAGTCGCCTATCCCACTTCTTTTTTTTCTGTTGCTTAATTTTCTCTTTTCGTTTCATACCTTTCTTCAATAATTCAGGATTATCCTAAATAGAACAAATCTTTTAATGAAAGTAT